AGAGAGAGAGAGAGAGAGAGAGAGAGAGAGAGAGAGAGAGAGAGAGACGTTTTCTATGTACTTTTTGAAGGAAGAGCTATGTATTTGCCATGGGACCCTGAAAGTTATGGAGTCAACTTTGCCAGGCAGATGTAGTCAATTAACCCATGAACCCCAGAGTATCGATGCAGTGGTATGTTTGAGAATAGTTAGTTCTTCATAAGGTGCAGAATATAAGGAGCAAAGGTAAAACGCAAGTCGCATGCAGCACCGAAACCTCACCTCCCACCTGCCACCTCTTTGACTTGTGTGGTTTGCTAAATCCAGAGCCTTGACCAGCAAGTTGCTCAGGCTACCTCATACTCAAAAAAAAAAAAACAGGATCAAAAATATTGTTGAATATTTGAGTCACGTTCTCAACGCCTGTATCTAAAATAAGGCCCCAATTTTGCATCTGCGATTATTTATGCCTGGAAATAAGGAAGTGAAATTCCCACCTACTGGAAGGACAGTTAGCAAGGCCACTCAGCCAGGCAAGTGTGGCTGAGAGTGGTGCAAACTGCAATGCACGTGCAGCAGAGACTCGGGAGTTTGGGCAGGCAGCTGCACAAGCCCTGTGACCCAGAGCAAGATAGGGATCAGTCTGTGACCTCCAGAAATGCGGGAACAAGCAGGGCCGTTAGCTTCAGGGGCCTGGCGAGGTCAGAAGGAGTGAATATTAAGCAGGACTGGCCTGTGTGAGATGGCGGTCCATCGTGGAGAGGATTTCCAGGGCCCACTAGGATGCTGCCGTCTTCCCTATCCAAATCATTTCTGCATATCTCAGAGCTTAAGTAGGTTCCGAGTAATTTGATGCATTTCTGCTTTTGACGTGCTTAGTTTCCCATCCAGGGCATTGCTACGGAGCATCCATCTCTGTGAGAGTTTCTTTTGCAAGCCTCGGAGCTGAGCGAGCCGAGCCGAGCTAGTACTAGCTTTGCTGTCAGATGTAGCCGTGTCCCACAGGATAATGCCCATTGTGGACTCACACCATGTCAACCACAGTAATGGTGATAGTATAGGGTGGAACCCAAGCAGAGACAAGAAAGTTCATGAAGGCCTTTGGAAGACAAGCTTTACTTTAAGCTGGAGCTTCAAGAAAAATATTCTCCCCTTTGGGTGGCGGGACACTAGCTCCTGAAATATGGGCAGGAGAGTTAAGCCTGTCTAAAGGCCTGAGCCCTTTCTGGCCTAATCTTCTTACAAATCAAGACCAGGCTATGGACTAATTTTCGAAACTGAGCAACTTCTGGGAGACTCTGCCTTCTCTCTAGAATGACTGGGTCACCAGCTGCGACTAGGTCACTAGGATCCCCCGGGCCGCTGGGGGTTCTTTGTACTCTGCTGACTATTGTAAATAAGGTTTGGAAAAATGACTGTCATTTTACCAGAATCTAAGCTCTACTGGCTAACTTAAGAAAGATGTTTTGGTCCTTGAATCTGGACTTCATTGGATATTAAAAAAAAAAAAAAAACAACCAAATCCAAAATCTTTTAATTCAGCTCTTTCCCTGGTATTTTTAAAAGAATAAAGAGGTCAGAAAGCAGCATTTTTTTCACAAATCATTGTACTAATATCACTGTCTGCTTTTGAAACTGCAAAGCCCATTGATGAATCCTGTAGGCTCCCTTCTCCCCTCTGTCAGCTTCTGCAGTGATGTCCTCCTCACATGATGGTCCATTGAAATACCTTATGAAAACTGTCAAGAGACATTCTTCTGTGGCAGCCGATGCTTCTCTGCTGTCTTGAATGCTTCTGTCTTCCCAGTGTTGGTTAATTTTGTTTGCGTCATGTAGAGCTTTGATTTTAGTCAGCATTATTAATAATTTACTCTTTAACTTAATGGGACTGCAGAGGGGCTGAGACAGGTCTGGCTCAAGCAGTGTGAGCTCCCTGTTATGGACAGCTCCGGGGATCTCGTGTGTGTTGCCAAGTGCATTACAGGGTAATAAATGTATAACGAGCTGTGCAATCTGTGTGTGCTAAAAATGAACATAGAATTAAGTAAAGGAAGTATTGCCCCTGTTCAGCCTCTGCTATTAAAAAGCCCAACCTGAAAACCATTGCAGACTGCAGAATTGACTCCTAGGAGCATGCCTTGTGTGTCAACAGCCCACATCCATACCTGGAAGTCTTGAGTTATCTTCAAAGTACTTGCTTCTAGAATAAATTCATCAGCAGAGGTCCCGAGCTGTGTTATAACATGCATACCAACGCTGCATTTCGTTCACTTAGCGAGACATGATCTAAACAGTGCCATCCATGGGTGTGAAGGGGTTAAACAGTAAAACCTCAGAGGTCTGCAGTTGCTGAGGGTGGGGGTGAACCCAGTCAATGTGGGATAGAGAACCACATTCACAATGAGGCAGAATGTGCTGTGGTGAGAGCCCCGTTTCCCCACACACTAAAACCAGTGGCAATAATGCCTTCAGGAAGAAGGGAGACAATCATAGCCAAGGCTCAAGACAGCTCCCAGAATGTTCTAGAAAGGTTAAACTGTGGGGGAAAACACTTCCCTTGAATTCAGCAGCCACCAAAGATATATAGATACAGGGGTGGGTGACATCATTAAATACAACTGTATATAGTAACAGACACTGGGATTCCTTTTAAGTTGAGATGAAAATTTTCACAGAAGAAGAATTCCCCTTGGGATGCAGGAAAGCTGGACAGGAGCAGGAGCACTCCCACGACACAGAAAACCCTAGCATTCAAGACACTAGTAAAACAAGGCAAAACAAAAAAGCCACCATTCCCATGCCATCTCTTCAGTTGTATGCCCTTTGAGCATTACCAGGGTTTCAACCAAAGGAGCAAAGACCCTTGTCAGACTTATCCTGCAGATTAGGAAGTTATTTTCATACATGTAATCCAGAGTCCTTTTAGCTTTGTCTTCAGCAGTAACGCAAACTGGGCAGAGCACAGCGAGAGATGCAGCTTACATGGACCACATTCTGATTCTTAACGCCACCTCTTACACTGTTCACTATCTACATAGACACATCGCATGATTTCCATTTTTCTAATGTGGAGGGAAATAATGAGTGATGGGTTCAATTATTTGCTACTTGAGTATACTTTCGTGACTGTTTTTTTTTCTTGGGTCCAATACAGTTTCTTCTCTTAGTTGGGAAAAGGGCCATTACACTAAGCCTTCTACTTCATCTGCCTGGCTGTAAAGTTGCTGTGGAACGGCTCCTTTGTGATGCCATGTTCCATGACATGCTTGCATTGCAATGGATGGGAAGACTCATCACTCTCTGGCTATCCCTTTTGCTGCAAAACAGGAATATTTGTGCAGTTCCAAACTGTTGCACACTGAAAAAGGGCAACCCTGCAAAAGCGCAGAGCCAGGGAGAGGTGGTCCTGTAGACTCCGCCAATGCACAGCTTGCCCTGTGGAAGCCTCCTAGTCTTTGGTTCAGAGTCGACTACTGTTTTGGAATAGGGACCAAGACTTTACTTATTCTTCCAGTAAACATTTATTAAAGACCTGCTGTGGAATAAACACACGTGCACATATGTACACAGCTTTAGGATCCTGTCCTTGAAAATGTATCACATCAGGGAGTCCTAAATATAAGGTGGGCCTAAACAAGGGGGGATCCAAATAGTCCCACCCGAAAGAACTGTGATCTCCCCAAGAGACTTTAAAAAACTTCTTCTTCTTGGCATGACAAGAAGTTCAAAGACACTGAAGCCAGAGAAGACACAGGAAGAGCTGTGCAAGATAAACATACTAAGTACTTAGAGAACAGCATGCTCAGCTGAGAGCCTGACATAAGCCGGGTGCCATCCCAGAGCCTTTACCTGCTCCTTGTACCATCACAGTTCTACTGATGTAGGTTTGAGTGTCGTGTGTGCATTTAAAGGCCTTGCAAATTCTAGGTCATTTAGTGTTCTGAGCTATCGTATGCAGAGATACTACTGCTACCTCATTTTACATATGAGAAAACTAAAAATCAGAGAGACTTAAAAAATATGTCCAGGAAAGTATAGGAAGAGGACAGGTCAGGATTTTTATCCAAACATGACTCCATGTTCATAATTCCTGACGCTCCTCTCCTAGGAGTGGAAGCAGCAAGAGTGAGTTGGGAGCAAGAGTTGGAAGGGCCTGCTTGGTGAATACCTTTCCTATTAGCAGTCCGCAGAGAAGGCAGTGGTCATGCCTTCTGCTAGGTTGGGAGGGCAAAGGGAGACAGGCCATGGATGAAGAGAGGTAAGTATGTCATGATTTAAAGCTCTGACTTCACAAATGACCATCATTGGAAGCTTCAGTTCATCCATCTACACAGAGCAAGGGTTTTGCATAAGGTGTTAAAAATTCAGAGATGCATAAATAGCTACCCATACCGTGTTTTCTACATAGTTGGTAAACAGAAACTACTAACCATTTGGATAGCCTGGACCCTGCTTTCATAAAGGTGGGACTAGGCAACATTCATCCTGTGAGCTCTCCAGGCACATTCACAGCCACGGGGAAGATGTTACCAGGTTCTGACAGAAATGCAGGCGCAGGGGTTGTCCTGGTGATGTGACCAAGTAGCCCCCAGGGTCCCTCCTGTCTTAACCTATGTTCCATCAGTCCAGTTATCCTAATGACAGTCATCGAAAAACCGGTTAATCTATACTTCATATACAGAAACTAATGCTCCCAAAGGAAGCTTTCCTTGCCTTATAGTATATGAAGCAGGAAATTGATACATGAGATGAATCAAACTTGTATAAGTTACAAGTCGAAATGAGTGTTCTCTCCATCCCTGCACATTGCTGAAATAACAGCTTTCCAGAAAGGAGTACTGGTGCTGGGGGAAAGTATACATCTATCTGTCGACTATCAGATTGACACGTTCAGGAAGTGACTGCGAGGCTTTCGTGCATCTCCAGAATGCCTAAACGAGACACAACTGTTTTTAAACGGAAGGAGACCATTATCCACATACTGCTGTTGTCGTGATAGTGACAAACTATGGCAAATGTTACTATATGGCAACTATTGGTCATTGTGCATTAAAAATAACAGATTTAATAGTCAATATAGAGGAATATATAAGTGGAATGCCTCGGAGATGAGGGAAGAAAGAGAAAGGTAAGCCAAGAGGGGATGCGTTTCTCTAATCTGATCTCACGACGGCTCAATTACTCTCTTTACACTTCATTTACTCCCTCGCTAAATTTATACAGCCCGTGAATGGGTCCACAGGCTCTGGAACTCCGCCTATCAGGCTCCATATCTGCAAAGCCCACACCACGGACAGACCTCCCTGGCTCTCTTTAGTGGTTGGCCTGATTGATCTCATTAATTGGTAAGAGCTATTTATTTCTTCTTTAATAAATACTTCTTAATTCAATTAATCTCCTTGTTCAAGCTTGCGCTAAATTTAGACGTGGGGCTTCAGCTGCATGGGCATCATGAGGTAGGAAGATTTTTATAACAGCAAATTCATTCTTTCCAGAACATTAGCCCAGAATTTTTAATAACCCAGCAATCAGGTTTGCACACCACTACTACAATGACACATCTCTGGCCCAATTTATTCTCTTACACAGATACACACTCTAACTAATTCATGGGCTTAAATGCATCAGCTTTAAATTGGGAATTTAGAAGGTTTCTTGTTGGAAAGCAGTAAAAGCAGGATACTCTAATTCCAGGCATGTCTCATAGAGACCGTATTCCTAAACTGTCATTAAATCACTCGAATATTGTGCTCCTGGCATCTTGGATCCATTACATATTACATCTGTATTTAAATGGCGACATTGGTCATCTTTACAATAGCATATTTTTAAAAATAGAGTTATCTCTAGTAAAAGAGCTCATTTATGAGCTGTTCAAAATTGAAGAAATTATTTCCTGATTAGACAGCCAGGAAATTTAACAATCAGCCAGCATTCCTTAAATATCAGAAGAAGTCAGAAGAAGGGTAGCCGCCGTATGCCTGAGGTTCACTGGTGCCTTACCCTGACTTGCAGGCAGAGGAAGATTGGAAAAGAACATCATTCATTCCTTCCTGTTCTTCCTCATCCCTCTGTATATCCAACCCCTCAGTCTTACATTTTGTGGTTGTCCTCATCACTAATTTGTCAATGTTTTACAGAAAAAAAAAACCAAAAAAAAAAACATACCAAATTTGCATATAAGAGGACTTCATATAAGGTAGAAAATGCAATTGGGTGAGGAATGAGAAGTAAACTTAGTCAAACTGAAGATTTAACTATTAAAGGCAGACAAGTCTCCTGTACCATCAAAGAGGCCAGCATTTCAGAATATGAGTCAGCCTCGCAGTGACCTATCCCTCTCCCTTCTAGTCCTCTGTCCTCCCGCTTGCACTGTTTCCCTAGGAAAAGGGGCTCCTCTCTTTTTACACACACTGGGTTAGCCACCTGCTTTCTTAGCCAGTCTTCGACCACACTAATGACCTTAACATCTAATCCTTTCATGCAGCAAGTGAAAAGCAGGGAGGTGCTTGCTTGATGAATAAGGACACTTCCTTTCTTTAAAAAAAAAATCACCCATTAAGATGAACTTCAAAATTATTTAACATGAGGGTGCTCTGTTTTGGGAAACAATATCTTAATCTTTTATCAATAGGAAGTCGATTAGGTAGAAAAACGATGGGTGCGTATTAGGAAGTTTCTGAAACAGTGATATGTTTCAAGTTACCTGACCATGAAATTATATTGTCTTAAATATTGAGTAAATGCAATGATATAAAACATCCCCAAAACACAGCATCCAATCTTTCAAGAGCCATGAACTCACTTACTACCTTTTAGGGAAACTGTCAGGGACCCTAACCTCTTCCTTCCGTGCCTGCTCATATTAATCACTACCCTGAATCTGGAGCCACTGTCTTATGTTTCCTTAGAAAAATTATTGTTTCTCATTTTCCAGTAACTAGTCGATAATATATTTTGAAGAGCTTTATGTCTTTTGATACCACAAGAAAGAAAAAAAACATGTTTTTTCTATTCTTTTGTAGTTTGCTTCTTCCACTCAAGAATGAGCTGATCACTCCCCTCCACGGATGTGTAGGATAGAGTCAGATCCCTCTCCATGCTGTGTGGCATTCCTTTGTAAGCCCACATCACACTTCATAAAATACTCACTTCCCCATGGACCTCCTGGCTTCTTAAAGCTTTTGTTATTACAAAGAGTGCTCCTATGAATAGTCTTGAATATTCTAACTTTTACCAATCTGGTGATAGGATAATGTGGTTTTAATTTTGCATTTCCCTAGTCGCTAAGATTGGGGATCTTTTCATATGTTTATAAGTCATTTTCTCTTTTATAAGTCATCCTCCTCTTTTATAGGTGCCTATTCAAACCTTTTGGTTATTTTGTTATTTGCTTTATTATTAATTCAAACAATCTCACTTGCAGGGTATATTTTCTTCTAAAACAAAAGTTTAGTAGTTCACAATTTTACCATTAATGATTTGATTGTAGAGGAACTGATTAAAAGAGAGGGTTGATTTTCATTTCTTTCCTTATGTGTATAATAAATTAGTCTCCAATTATGACAAAGTGAATTTTTTTCCTTTCTTCTCAGTTATATTTCTAGCTCAATTATGAAGTAAATTTCACATATTTGTGAGTTTGCTTGGGGCACCTTCTTTTCTATTCCAGTGGTCAGTTTCTTTGCTTAGCTATTCTTTACCCCCTGGACCTACTTCACAAAACAATAAAAATCATCTCTCCAATCTTTATGAAAAGAAGAAGTTTTGTTTGGGATTAAGTTGAATTCCCAAAATCGATGTTTTAACTTGGCATCTTTAAACCAACCCAGCCATACCAACCCAGCCGTGTATCCATGAACATGGTGCATCTTTCCATTGCAGTGGATGCCGGCAGGTTGGTTTATTTTTCTTTCTAGACCTGCATGTGTTTTTAGGTTTCTCCATCTCCATTTTAGGTTTAAAGGTTTGGAATTACTGTATTTTTCAGACTGTTTTGACCTCATGGTTCTCTCATAATCTCTTTTACCTTAATCTCCTTTGTTAATAAGGACGTGGCTGCCCTTGCCTGCCTGTCTGATATTTTAGTCTCTATTTAGCTGCCACATTTTTCAGCACTGTTCTTAACTTCTTGGAAATTGCTCTTGATGGAAATCCAGTTCAATCTCAATCAGAGAAAAGAATCTGTTGAAATTGATTTCAGGTCCTGATATACTCTGACACAGTTCTAGCATCTGATCTTGTGTTTTCTATTTGCCCTTTAGGTTTTCTTTTCTTACACTTTTCTTGACTCTTTTGGGATTCAGCTTTTTTTCTTCTTGCTACTAAATTCAAAGATGTACATACATATTGTTGTTACGTTGGGGCGCTTTAAGAACTAACCACACCCACCCCAGCTACTTCTGACCCCACCTCCCCCTCGTCGCCATCTTCTCTCTCTCTGGTGCGTGTGTGTGGGTGCGTGCGTTTGTGTGTGTGTGTGTGTGTGTGTGTGTCTTTGTTCTCTCTACGTTTGTCTATATCTCCCTTTCTTTAAGTAATAAATGTCTAGCTTTATGTATAGCCTTATGTCCATTTACTCTGCCGTCCACCGCATCCAGCCACCTGACTCTGCCGCTCGCCCGAGGACCTTGACTCCCCCGGCCGCATGGCGCTGCCACTTGCAGCTGCTCCGTGAGCTGCCTGGGACATCCCATCATCATATTATTTTTAAAAAAGAACAATACATATATGCATACATACATTGACACATACGTACGCACCTTATTTCTATTATTTTACTGGCTTACATATGTGCCATTAAAACACAAATTTAATTGTTGACTGAGGTCTCTGTCCTGCCCAGTTCCCACAATTGTTAAGTCCCAAAGAAATCACACAGAGGTCTTTATTAGTTATAACCTGATTGGCCCATTAGCTCAGGCTTCTTATTAACTCTTATAACTTATATTAGCCCATTATTCTAGTATATGCTAGTGACATGGCTCAGTACCTTTTTCAGCGGTGCAGGTCACATCTTGCTTCTTCTGTGGCAGACTCACAGCTGCAGAGGAATGGACTTCCTCCTTCCCAGAATTCTCCTGTTCTCATTGCCCAGCCTCTACTTCCTGTCTGATTTTCTCACCTATACTTCCTACCTGGCTGGCTACTGGCCAATCAACATTTATTTAAAACATGACTGACAAAATAAAGAATTGTCCCACACCATCTAATAAATACCCTTAGGTTTTATACACATGACATTTTCCTGAAGCCATTTTTGCTTCTAGTGTGAATGTAGCCCAGAGCCCAGCTCTCCAGGATCCTTCTTTGCCAGCTTTGGATGGAACCCCATTCACCCACAGGCATCTGTGATGTCAGAGATGGCATTCAGAGAAGCCTGACACACTTGACCAAGTCTTTGCCGGAAGGAGAATATGAAGAGAGACTATTCTGGTTAGACTTTATTGACCCTGACTCAATCAATTCTATGGCAGCTCTGCCTATGGCAACCAAGATCTGTGTTTGTTATATGTGCTAGGTTCTTAGACTAGAGTTCTGATTGGAAGGATATTCTAAAGTTCTTTTCAAAGAGAGGAACTCTGAACATTCTAAGAGAGGAAGTGACAGAGGTCACCCAGGAGTCAGTTGGCAGAACCAGAAATAGACCCCAGGTCTCACTCTCGGTTCGGACAAAGCAGCTTGTTCTGAAGGGGGGACATACAGGAGAAATATTTCCCCCAAAAATTGCTTTTCTCTTCCACTCAAATTCCTCTGATAACGACATAATAACTTGGAATTGCTTAGAAACTTGGACTGGCAAGAGCTGCAGTCCCTTCCTACTGCTACGACCCCCCTCCTTGTGATTCCCATGACACCGGGGCTCTTCCACCTTGGGTTCTCCTTGCCCTACATGCTGATTGTGGGAAATGCTGGGCTGGAGACATCTTGTCTTCAGCACTTTGGGAGTCTGCAATGGGCCTCCCCAGATGACATCAGAAGGTCCAGACTGTAGAAAGGTCTGAGGCCGTCTCAAGACCACTTCTGGAACTGCAGTGAGAAGGCACAATTCACACCCCATTTTTCACTCCGTTTGCAGTTCCCAAAGTTAAGTCTGACAGAGAGAGAGAGAGAGAGAGAGAGAGAGAGAGAGAGAGAGAGAGAGA